TGTATCAGTTAGTAGTGGTGACTTGCACGAAATATCCTTAATTACTAGAATACACCCAATACCATTTTAATAGTAGTAGAAATAAGGATTATGATTGGTTATTATGGAGAATCCTTATCGTCTCCAAAAGTGAGTGTTTTACAAATTTAGGTTTGACTAATAACAATAAAGGAGAATTGAAGAGGATCTAATGCATTGGATGGAATGGAGAAGACTTCAGGAAAGGAATTTGTGTTATAAGAAGATAACTTAAGGTTAAAAGGCCTGTCAACTGATTGCTGTTCACGAGACGCGTTTAGCATAAATGAATAATGCTAAAAAGGGTATGTGGATGTACTGAAATGGATAAGATAGGAAATTTGAATATACACCACCAAGTTGAGGTGACATCAATTTGTTGACAAATTAAGGGAATGACAGTTAGGTGGTGGTGACATGTTTTACATAAGACAGATGTAAAGAGGCTCCTTTACACTAAAGGGATTCAATCTCAGTTGAACACTAGTTAGCGGAGGGAGGGGTAGACTTTAGACTAATTTGGCCAATTTTGATATTTAAAATCTAGTTGATTTTTATATCTTCCCTTAGAACTACAAATGAATCTGATTGAGTGGCGAAAAAGGTTAGCTGATCTCAAATTTATTGGGAATATCGCTTAGTTTATTGTCCTAGAATCTCTAATGCGAGTGACGATTGTTGTTTTGTGCTCGTACTTGGCGCCCCAATAGTTTGCCAATTTGACTAACTTTAGCCATCGTTTGTGTCTTTTTGATCTAATAATTAGCTAGTTGGTTAGTGAGTTTCCTTGATTACAGGTGTAAAGTCTGCCTCTTTCTGTATGACACGACATGAAAGTTGTTATAATTGAGGAAGTGAAAAATCCTTCTTGCCAATATACCCTTCTCCGGTAGTCTTATTTTAATGCTTTATTTGGTCTTATTACTGGTATTCTGGCTGATCCTCGTGCTATTATAGAAGAAAATTCTTGATAGACGGAATTTAGTTAGGAATTAGGAGGCAAGTAAGGTGTGTTTGCTATACAGGATTGGACAAGATATGTGGATAATTTCCTTTTCGTTAATACTATTCAGCACGATCTAGTCCAACTTACCAGTACGCCGTGTACTCTTCTAACCGAGACCAGCCCGATATTTCAATGTACATACTCTGCACTAGGCATTGTAGAAAGTTCGATCTCATTCATTACATCTTGGCATCTTTGCGGGTTACTCTTTGTATCAACCGTGTTTTTGGTAGATTATTCTGTTATTGGGACTTAAATCAAATTTTATTCTCGACTCGTCTTGTTTACTCAGACCTCTTCCCAAACTCTCCGAGCTGAACTTGACCGATGCGTATCTTGTGCACTCATTTCTGGACTGGACAAGTTTTCAAGAACTGTAGATTTGTGAAAATGGCTTTGACTACAGATTTCGAAGAAGACAACAACAAAATTAATTAATTAATTAATTAAAAAAATTGTATTTTAGCTGCTGAGCTTGCTGCATTAATGCATTGTTTATGGTAATGGCGTCTATTTGTGTAGGATTTGCACTAAACATGTAACGTTTCATTTCCCCTTAATTAGAGACCAAGTCCAGTTAATATTCTATGGATATATCAGTTCTCCATATTGAATTATTTTAAGGTTTCATGGTTGTCATAAACTGGTTTAAAAGTAAAGTAACTTATTTTAAGTTTGTCAATCATAATTTGTATAGTTAAATTTTAATTTTTTGAAAAAGATAAATAAATAACTGTTACGTGCTGGCTCTAAATAATCCTATGATAATGGTTAAAATTGAGAGGAGCTTGTTCTGATTTTTCAAACTTTTTTCTTTGAGGCATGTTGTCTGTTCACGAAATTATTTCTTTCGATATAAAATCCACGGCAAGTGTACGGTTCGTTAACAAGTAAAATGGATTATGAGTCTAAGTATCGATCTCACAAAGATTGAATTAGTTCAAATCAATCTATTATGACGTTAACCGAAACACGAAAGTAGGATTTATGTGTTGTGATTTGACTAAGGAAAATGTGAATTATGATGCAATTATGAGTGAGAAC